AAAGTTATCCTCTAATGAAACCCCTCTCTTTTCTCTACGTGATAGTGTTGATAGCATGTTTTAGATTTCATTTGAGAAAACAGACATTTATTGCAGATCCTAAGAGAAAAAAGGGCAACCTTTCTCTTACTCCGTTTTCGTGTTACTCTCGTACCCGTGAGGTAAACTAAACTTGCCATTACACCTCCGCAAAATTACGGTCTGGGAAACAACTCGGCGCGCGGTTGTGGGAGGGGAGGGAGGGGGAGCGTTGGCGGTTTTTGGGGGCGACGCGGGCTTGTCAGTAGCATTGAATGAGTAATGGCCTGTTTTGCTTTCATTGTGTATGCGCGCAAGGCTTTCGGCTCTCTTCCAGGGCCGCGTGCATTCAGAGCACGTGGACGCCGCTTGCGGGCGGCCGGAGAAGAAGCCGGCTGCTCGCGCGCCGACCAGACACGGTTTTATCCGGGAACGCGCCGCCAATGGAAGTCGACAGCGCGGTGCAGTAATTAGTTTCGCTTGAAATGTGTATGCGGGGGCATTAAAAATGCAAATATATCGATCTACTTCAGTAGCTCGGCGAGGGTAGTAACATTGTTCTGAGAATACACGACTCTTTCTGATTGAATTTGAACGAAAAGTGAAGCACATGTGAAAATGTTGGTCATAGAAGAGTTTGGATCGATGTCAAGTTTTTAATAAATGCCAATTTTTCACAAACGTGCATTCAAATCTTCGTGGAACACCTAAGTTATATAAACAAATCTTCAATTAAAAAATGCTTTCAAGTATTTATGCATTTATTCCAGTTTTGAGAAATTGTAAAAAGCTGATATATTTTAGACGACTGACATAAGGTATAGTGAGGCAAAAGATACTGAACAGGCGAAATCAGTTAAAGAGCCTTAGTTTTGTTTTTAATGAATCAGAAATGTAAAAAATATTATACGTGAATATTAATATACTAAAACAATATTCCGCAGTGATGGTGATGATCTTTATTTCAAAGTGCAAACAATTAAGAAGAGCTTAAAATAGTTAAGAATACAAAACTTAATGCTACGGCAGTCTTGATACCATCGTTACGCTACAGAAAAGTGCGCATTGTCTCGTGTCCCTCGTCAAAGTGTTTTTCGAGCTGCTTCATCAATGTTCGCCCATAACGGACCACAAGCTTCGCCGTCGCGGTGCAGGGCGTCTGGCCCCGGGCGCGCGGGTGGCAGCGTAGGGCAGGCCGGCCGAAATGTGGGGGAACCGCACCATCTGCGACAGCAGCGACAAGCGGCCGCTCCTCCTGGCCGCGATGGCCATCGCCGGGGGCGCCTCGGGCCGGGGCGCGCGGCGCGGGGCGAGGGCGGGCAGGTGGGCGTGGTCCGCGGCGCGCGCCGCCCGCTCCCACAGCCGGGGCCGGTCGTCCGCCCCCTCCGACGCGTCCGAGCCGCTGCCGTACACGCTCTTGAACGGGTCCGGCTCCACGTCGTCGTCCGAATGCGCGTCGCCGCCTGCGGATTCAAAGAGTTGCCGGCGAACGGGCCGAGACTGCCACATTGGGCGAGGATGTACATATAAGGCTCCATTTCTCGAAATATTCGCATCCTATTGGCGGTTATAAGAACTTTGCTGTTCGTAACTTGCAAAAGTAGTTCTTGGTTCAAATAATAAGACACTTCTCATACCCGTTCAATTCGATCAAAATAATAAATACTGAAATATTCAAACTAAAAATGGCGTGGCATTGTGTGTGTCTGCGGAAAGGACCGGAAGTATACAACATCATCAAAGTGTGTATGTGTATATGTTAAAAATGATTATTTGTACATAAAATGGCAGAAAATTATTTTATATTGCTAAATTAATGTAAAATTCGGACTCCCAAATGTAATGGAATTTATAATCTCTCCGACGTTGACCCTCGACCCATCGGTATTCTTCCCGAGCTGAAATGCTATTGGTATACTACAGTTAATAGGAGTTTTGGCACGGAGAAGCGTTATACCAATCGACAACAATATTGATATCATTAGCAGGTTTTGGGAAAGAAGAAAAAGATGTTTCGCATGAAGCAGTTCCAAACCATGGCGACAGATTGCGTTAAATTCCTATAATATCACTACCACTGCATTCGTTCAAATAGAGATCTTCAGAAACCAATAACATTATTTTATTATATAATAACTAATACTACATGGATAGATAATTGTAAATGCTGATCAATGCCACAACTTTATATTGCATCCTGGGGAGTACACACTGCTCTCAGAGTTGGAACAAATTCAATGTGGCATCACTGAGTAATCTAATAGCTCCCACATAATCCCGCGGAATAGCGGACTCCGCTATCACTTTCAGTTCGAATTCGAGTTGGCTCATGAGCAACTCTGCCAACGACGCGGCGTCACCCGGACAGCCGACAACTAACCAACAAAACTGTTCACGTAGGCTTCCGCGGCTCGAGTTCATGACGTCTAGGCTGTCGGCCGCTCTGCCAACGTCGCGGCGTCACCCGGACAGCCTACAAGTAACCACCAAAACTGAACACGTAGGCTTCCGCGGCTCGAGCTCATGACTTCTAGGCTGTCGGCCTCTCTGCCATCGACGCGGCGTGACCCGGACAGCCTACAAGTAACCGCCAAAACTGTCGTACCGCGCGCGCGCGCGTGGGCGTGGGCCTTCCTGGAGGCGCGGCGGTAGCGGATGCGCGGCAGGCGCAGGGGGGCGCCGGGTGCCGGGCGCGGGGCGGCGTCGGACGGCGCCGTCAGCAAGATGCCGTCCCACGCCTCGCGCTCCACCAGCGCCTCCGCGCGCAGCTGCGCGCGCCGCAGCGTGGCCGTGGGCACGGGGTTCCACGAGCCCTTGGCGCGCCGCCGCAGCTGCGCAGGCTTCACCTGCCGCCCACACACACACACATGGAAGCAACGGGTGCGGCGGACGAGGATTACACGCAAGAAGAGGTTACGTGGATCGTAGCTCGTGCAGAGTAATTTATTTTTCTCAGTTGCTTTTATTGTTTGGTGAATGATTCCGATTGTGTCAACTGCTATGATAATTAGCTCTATAAGTGTAGTGCATGTTTTAAGGCGGAAAGTGGCGGTCTTCTCCCGCTGGATGGCGAGATCCGGCGCCGACCTACCCATCGACTTGGGCTTCTCCCCAGCAAAGTATCTCCCTTCAGCGGGGCACCGCCTCAGCCGGGGCAAGCACCGAGCTCTCTATTGATCTCCCGGCATGTACGGTAGTGTAGGGCATGTTAGTATTAGAGAGTGTAAGGGGAGAGGATAGGTCAAGGAAGAGAAAGGAAAGACCACATGGCTTGTTTGTTAGGGTATTACTCGGACATTCGCCTGGTGTTGATCGGAGAAAACACGAAAAATACCAATCAGAGCAGCCAAATGCTAGAATTCTCCTAGCTGTGTAGGTAGAATCGAAAATCCTGTCACGGTCGGGACTCAAACCTAGAACCTGCCGGTCAGAGGCCTTGCAGTAATATCAATTGATGCATTAAGCCACCTTAGCCGCTATAACTGTTGTTTCCACTGATGTATGGGGTACAGCTAGCCGAAGCGAAGAAGTGGTAATGGAAATCTGTAGTGCTTCTACTTTCATTGTGGAGGCGGTTTAAGATGACCGCTCTCGTTTCGTATACCATCAAGAGCGAAATGCGTGCTGTGTTACGCTACCTCAAAGCCAAAGACGTGCCGTGCGCTGCGATTCATCACGAAAGCGATTCAGTCCATTGGGAGGACATTACGCCAAAAAAATCTTGACACAAAATGGGTACGAAATGCGAATTTTAATTATATGTCAACAAACTTTCAAAAAAACGCTGCGAGATTCTGGGGAAGGAAGTCCGTCGCCTTCATGACGATGCTTGTCCGCACGCCGCTCGGACAACGCAAAAGTTGTGGACGTCATCTGGTTGAAATGTTTAAATCCCTCCCCCTAACAGTTCGGATGTCGCACCTGTAGTTATCATCTGTTCTCTAAATAAATATCTGAGTGAAAACTCTTTCCCGATAACGACAAGGTTAAAATCGAAACGGAAAAGCGATTAAAGGACTAGGCGACACACTTCTATGAAGGAGAAACGTCCCATGGCTGACAAAATAAATTCATGAAAATTATGTTGAAAATTGTATATGAAAATGTAAAATGTAAATGAAAAATTTAATAAACTTTATCAAGAAAAAAGAACGGAAAGCAATAACAGTACTTGGAATTATAGGGAAAAATATTCAAGTTTAGATTGGCCTGAGAGCATACATATTAATTGTACAATTAAATTTAAGCTAAAATTAAATTCGTTTTAGTTAGTAAGAAAATACCTCTCTAGCTGATTAAGACAAAAGGCAATAGCGTAATGTATGCAATTTATAAAAAATAAATTCCCGCCTCTACAGGTGCACTGAGGACGGGGAATTGAAAGCTTCACCTTCTCGAAGCGGCCGGTGGCCGGGTCGGCCTCCCGCACGTCGGGCAGCGGCTCGGCAGGTTTCTCCGGCTTCGGCGGGGACAGCGGGTACTTCTTCAACGATTCTTTCCCGAAGTAGTTGATTTTGTACAGTTTTTCGCGCTGCTCCTCGTCGTTCGGGAGTGTAAACTCTTTGGACGGGACTTCTCTCACGGACCATGATAAGGCTGCCGTTGAATCCTGGTTGATAAGTTTCTTGTAAGCGTGACGATGAGGTTTGTTGGACTTGGCAACGATTACAGCCACGTGCTGCAAAATGCGAGTAACTTTGTCGTTCACTGGGACCTGACGGCGTAGCTCTGGAGGAGGCGGGACTCCAGTCAACATGGTTGACGATTCTGCGCATATGCCCCAAAATTATAATTAGTTTGAATAATAAACTAGTGCAAAATCAGCACGTACTTTCTCTAAGCACAATTACGCGAAAAATACTCAAATTTTCAAAAAAATTTACATGGCTTAATTTCAAAATCTATCTGTAAGCAACAGTAAACGGTATACATTTTGATTGAATTTCATTTATTTTCATTCAGAATTTAGTTTCTTTTTACTTTTAATGCTTTTTAATTGTTCCATCACTGCCCATTCGCAGCAAAAGCTGCTCAACTATTGAACGACCTATAAAAAAGCCAAGCAATTAAATGACATAAACGAAATAAAAAGGAATGAAAACTTCATGAAAAAATGCATTTCACTAGATGGCATCATTGCTTGAAAAAAAAACTGTTGGAATAATAACATTGTCGCCATTATTGTAGTGAGCCCCTTTTTACTTTCTTGCTCTTCCGAAGATACTTCCTAAGGGAAAGCTAAGTAATCGTGCAGCGGAGAAGAGCGAATTTTTGGCAGAAAAGCTCTAATTGACTAGCCCTGGCACAAAAAAGTGCTAAATGGTTAACGCAAGAACTTGCCATACATTTCGTAATCGGGTTCACCTAGTGAAGTCTCCACAGGTCTCAATCCCTACTGACTATTTATTCAACTTTTATTTTATGTCAAAGTACTATTTAATATAAGATAAAATATCTCTTCAAATCAAACTTGTTGATCTTATCCCTACAAATCCCATTGATATAGCTATCACCCTTTCTATATATATAATAAACTTTGACGGTATTTATTCATTAATGACTGTGCCCTGAACTATTTTCCTCTTCAAGGCTTTGACAAACACTATTATTAAGAAAATAGGATGGTCGTGTTGACAATATAAGAGTAATCGCCTACTTCTCACATTCTCAGAGCACTTTATCAATAGATACTGGTAGTTCGAGCCACTCAAAGAAGAATAGACATGTCATAACCTTCATATCTCTGCGACAAATACTTCATGAAAGTGCCCGTTATATAAAGAGAAATTAGAAAATTAATAGAAGACGAGCTTGCCAATAGGTTGCATTGTTGGATGGAACTGAAGGAAACTGCTATCTGGCAGTGTCTTGCGCTCTTTGTCGCGTCTACAATCAACACTGAAACACTCCAACTACTACTCGGCTACGCTGGTGAGTGAAAGATAGGTATGTTACACGTAAAATACGAAAAATCAGTTCTCGTTTTATTTTCAATTAGTTTAGGAAATTAATTCAATTAGTTCCGGCATTGCTCATCCATTTATTTATTACAATCATGTATTAGATAGTTGACTTTCATGGCATAGTCAGTAGTTTGCTTAATGATGCTTCACACTAAACCAAACACTTGCACTTTCTTTACGTGTTTAGGAGAAAAAAAATATAATCAAATTCACAACTTTTATTGAAGATGTATTTGAAGTGTTAATATGAAATTGAAGTGCTCCGCGTTGCTGCAGTAATTATTTTGGACTTTACCAACAGGTAAGTTACCGCAGTTTGACTGCGTAAACTCCAAAGCAATTTTCAATTTTTTGGGGTAAAAAATTCACATTTTGCGATAATAATTTGAATTATTACTACGCAATCTTGAGTTATTTGTCTTTTAAAACTATTCGTGCGGAATTCGGAAGCAATATCTCCGGTGTCTTGTTTCATACACACACAGTTGAAAAACGCTTCAGTTTTATGTAATAGATTATCTTATCAAACCAGTTTCTGTCCTCCAAGCAGCATGAGATTTCCTCGCGAATCGGATGGGGTAAATAGACCCCAGGTAGTCGAACCCTGACCAACGCAGTAATTTCGAACATTGATTCATCCACGACGATACCATATTCTTCTCATCAATTTTATTCACCATCAGAGTTAGAAAACGAAATTTTCTTACTAAATTGCCTATACATGTGAACAATGCACTGTGATAAAAGCTACTTCAATGACTGAATTGCCCTGAGTTTGATAACGGGGTATTTATAGGGCAATGAATAAGGAACATATAATACACGAGGTTTTCGAGCGCTAGTGAATAGAACCTAGGGACAGATAAGCTGGGGTGTGAATTTATATTTGATTTTGACTATCTATTTAAACCTCAAAGCTTCATTAAAATTAGCCTATCACTACAAAAGAGACAAAATGTAACGTAGACACAGCAACAAAAATTTAGGCTAACATTTTCTTTTTTCTCACTCTTTCTGACACAGTCTTTGATATTTGCAGAATTTTATCTGCATTTGCGGCAATAATCTAAAAACTTTTTTACAAAAATATGATTAATGTTAAATATAATATTATAATAATGATTAATATTACTCAAAACGACATTAAAATGGTGGCTTAAACATTAATTATAATATCATTTTAATGTTTTTCATGTTCAGCAGAATAAATTGTTATTCTTTAAACTGGCATTTCTCCGAGGCAAACGATGAGATAAAATATGACAAAAGAAGTTACTGGAAGCTCTTTCATGAAATATTAAAGTGAAATTACAAATTCCGTTTTTGTCATGATTCTGAGTGCGGTTTCAAATATTATCGCATTGTCCAAATTTCCTAAGTTGATAAAGATTTCTTACCATTTTATTTTGACATAAAGTTCAAAATTACTCAAAAGGCTTTAAAAACACTTTCATTCATGTAATCTATTTAAGCTTATCTTCTATGCTTTATTTACTCCTATCTTGTCCATGCACTTCCTTTTTTCACCTAGATCAACAAGACTAAACTCCTCAAAGAATAAAATCTGATTTTCTCAAAGATATTTTAGACCAACTTGATTTAAATATTTCCACATATCACCTCAAATTATCCATCTTAAACTCTTCCTCCATACATTAGCATAATCACATACAAATAACATTCCCTTCTTCCCCTCACTATAAAACAATATATTTTTGGCTTTAACACATGAGCAAGGCAATCAACTCAGGAAATTTCCGAAGAAGTATTGGTATGTATTCACAACTCCTGGACCACCTGGTCGAGCAGATAGAAATAAATTTAAAAAAGATTATGAACAAACTATTTGCTCGATGAAATGGAGGTTGTTACTTAACGAAAAAATGCATAGAGTTACGTAACAAGAAAGGATAGATAACCACATACGTGAGCTTGAGGGCCCCGACGCGTTGTCCCCGCCTCCCCACTTGATCGGGTTCGCTTTGCCCTCGCCCAGGCCCGAGCCCTTGAGGATCTGCTTCTGCGTGATGTGCACGCTGTCCAGGGCCTCGTCGATCATCTCCATCACGCGGTGGTACCTCAGCCGAAATGGCACGTCCGTCAGGTCTTTCTCCATCCGCACCTATTCTCTAACACCTAAACGCATCAACAAGTTCATAAGCGTTTGAAAACATTAATTAATTAACGCAATATCAGTAAATTTTCAAGAATATTTTCTACGTATTTGGCATTTTGGGTCGACAGACTTTGCTGGCCAGATCATAGTGTCCCCCATGACTGGATCGAGTTAAATTCCCATGGTTTGGGGTGAGAGTCACAAAAGTGTGGTACACGAACGGCAAACATTACGTATTCCGATCACCGTCACAAGCAAGATCCGCCAGTCTGAAATTTTCTTCGTCATGCAGCTACAAAAAGTGGGGCGATTTTCAAGGAAAGCTACAACTATTTTTGCCTCGACCAAGATGTAGAATATTATAATGATATTTTATTGATTCATAGCAATTTATTGAAAATATAGCAAGTCGATTATTTGTTTTGTAGTACTAATGTTATTATGATTCAAAATAATTTATGGTAACTAGTGGTATTTTAGTAATGATTGACGAATGTACTTACCATTTATAAAAATATAATGTAAGTCAACTCAATATATATAAAAGTGTAAGTACAAAAGTAGAAAACATATCCCTCACGAAAAATTTACTCCTGCCGTTCGACATGTAAAACTTGTCGACTGTATTCCTACGGTCGATGGTTTTGCATAGCAACATGAAAGAGATTATTCAAGAATACACTCATTCTCAGTACCATTGTTAAGATATTTACATAACTGGAAAATATAGTATTTCAATAGGTATACGCAGCTTTTTCTCTCTTTTGGTAATATTCAATTATTTTCAATCATACTTGAAAATAATTGTAGTCATTGTTTTCTGTACATGACACTTTTGTAGAACAACGACGATAACGAACTGACGTTTCGAAGCCAAAAAGCCTAAAAATATCAAACCTTTACATTCGCGTGGCGGAGTCATTGTAACTGCGCTGATATTTGTTCTTCGGAATCCGCCAAAAATGGATGCGGAGAAGAAAAACACACTCTTAACCCGAACCATTTCTTGAGAATGGCAATTACGGTCTTATCCTTGATTCTCGTGTGCTCAACATTTCAAAAATGAGCGACAACATTGTGATATCCTGAATCATAGATCTCGTCAAATGTGAGAGATCCTAGTGAAAAGAATATCTCATATCCTCCAATTGTAAAAATAAAAAATCCTTGTGAATAAGTTTTATGATTCCACGAATAAAGCAAATTCCTCTCATTCACTTTTCTGCGATACCGATCAAACAAACATTAGAAAAAGAATATAATATTCAAAATGTCATTTCACAGACATGCAATTAAAAGAGAAAGTCTAAAATAGTGAATAGTGAAGTTTTGGCCCCAGGATCAAATGAGCGATATACTGTTACAGAAAAGTACTGAAAGAAGAGTTAGAATGTAATAAGTAAACAATGTTTTTGATTCACACATCCGATAAAAATTTGTATGGCGAGTCCTGTTAGCTACAATTTAAAGGTATCGTTTTAGTATTTATGTTACACTCACCATGTGAAACTATGATGAAATTGTAGTTAACTAGAGCAAATAGAAAACGTTTTAGCATGTAAACATATTAAAATATATATGAAATTATTATTACACAATTATCCAGGATATCTAGATCTCTTCCAACAAATTATGCAGATATTCGTCGTTTAGAATGTTCAGTTTCTTTGGAAACTTCCTAGTAGTCCACAATTGACATAAAAATGGTCTTGATATCATTGCCTTGACAATGATATTGCTTACAATATTCTTGTTACGAATTGTTACAAGTACAAAAGTGCATGACTGCACTAACGACAATTCCATAGCAAAGGAAACTACATTATTTGTCGCTTGGTTTTCAGTGTGCTACGTTTGCTTCACGAAAGCCTCTATTTTGACAAATTAGCTTTTTATTCTAGGAATTAAAAATCGGCCTGGAAATATTTAAAATATTCTATCCCTCGTAGCTGCAAACCATTGCTAGATTAAGAATACTATTTGAATAGATAAAAAATTTTCGATACTAATCTAACAACGTCCCTAAAAGAAACATTTGCAATTTGCGTGTGTTAGCACTCACATTTTCTTCAGCTCAAGGAGGTTCATTAATGTTTGATCATTTCATGGAAACATATGGTAGTTCGGCCTCTATTTCGATACCTGGGATGTCATTATTTAATATTAATACACAAATGTATTCCTTCGTCAATTCCCTTTGCGTCATTGCTTCTACGACAGGAATCTACTAGGCATAGTAATCTTATTAGTCTAAATAAGATATTTTCTCTTATTGAGTTTTATCTGAAACCAGCTGTTGAGTAAGTGATAAATGTTGATGATAGAGTTAGGCGAGAATGTTATTGATAAAACACAGACTCTTAAAAAATTTAAGAAAATCCTATGTATATATTATCTAGAATGGGGAGGAATGTTAACTTTAACTAACGGATGAGTATTGTTATATAATGTTGGAATACATTCATGTAATGTTGAGATCAGAAACAATTCATCATGCTGTAATATGTTTTCAGTGATATTGAAAAATTGTAGATTTTACGTTTATGAAAATATCAAGAATTAGATAAAATATTCCCAATTAAGTATGATTTATGTGATACTCATTTAGCAGTGCAGTATGTATCCAAAGTATGCTATAAATACAACTAATAGAGGCACTATCTGAATCAAGGAAGACTTCGACTCTATTTTATAGGTATTTACGTATCGAGAATAAATAATACAATTAGCTAAATCAATCGATATTTTTCACGACTTATAAATTGTTCACCAAACAATCACCAATCACTGTAAGCTGTACTAAGACTGTAAATGAATCGGTGTAAATTACAACAATCTTCGTAGACTGTTACTTTTTATTGATTTATTTTTCTGTTTTCTTGTACAAAATTTGCACGTTTTGAAACTCTAAAGGAAACTACAACTATGTTAGGATACATTGGCCTACCTACTTTATTATGATCAAGGAATTCTGAATGTTGAACATGATGAATTTACTATGAAACAGAAGTTTCACGTAAAACGTACTTTTCACATTTTATCTTCTTTAGCAAGTGAACTTTGTATTTCAATCACGCTCCTGGTTGAAATATGGACTTCAAAATTTTGTTTTTCTCAGGAGTGTCTGATTACTTCACTAACTTTCCTGGTTTCCCGCCACATTTATCCCCCTTTCTTTATCCAGCATTTGGTACTGTAATGCCCATTACTTCGTCGTGATATGTCGGGCGCCAGGTTCAGTTCCTGTAACGAATGATGGAAGTGAAGGGAGGTCAAAAATCGGTCCATTGACTCGTTTCTGACAAAATTCAATTTATTCCTGACACCATGAGCTGCCAGGGAAGTTACAGGTCACTAGAGAGCGACAAATTACTTGTTAAACTTATGTTACGAGCTCATAACCTTAACAGTTAATGAACAAATTCCTTAACAATAACATTAATAACTTATTTCTACGATTCATGCATAATTTTAACTACAATACACAAGGCCTGAGCGCGGCCACTCTTAGTCTCTCGTCAAAATGTCCTGCAAATGAGCCCCCCGTCATAAACTACGGAGATAGTTCGACTTCGGTTAAATACCGGATTATTCACCACTGGCTGGCGGTAGCTCCGCAGACCGGCGGATGGCGGTCCTCATTCGAAGACGGCGGGCGGCCTCAGGTCACCGACCTCCCACTGGGTGTTCCTCCTCTGCTGGCAGCGTGTCGTGGCACAGAGTCGTCAAAACGTCGCGACTCAGTCAGTTGAGAACACACAGGTACTGCCGTAGTTTAGTGCGGGCTTGAATGGGCCGATATGGCACTAGGCAGCGGATGCAGATCATCTTACGCGAAAGTGACGCAGGATCTTGCCATCTCCCGTGCCAAGTTACCTCCGGGTAACTTCAAAAGTGCTTATTCGAGAATCTGCTTAAAAGTGCTTATTCGAGAATCTGAATTCTAAGTAAGTTTCTCTGCACATCTCGCGTCCAAGTTACCTCCGCGGTAATTTTAAAAGTGCTTACTCGAGAATCTGAATTGTAAGTGTCATTCGAGAATCTGAATGCTAAGTGTCTATTCGAGAATCTGAAAGCTAAGTGTCTTTCGAGAATCTGAATGCTAAGGTCTATTCGAGAATCTGAAGCTAAGTGTCTATTCGAGATCTGAATGCTAAGTGTCTATTCGAGAATCTGAATGCTAAGTGTCTATTCGAGAATCTGAATGCTAGTGTCTATTCGAGAATCTGAAGGCTAAGTGTCTATTCGAGAATCTGAATGCTAAGTGTCTATTCGAGAATCTGAATGCTAAGTGTCTATTCAAATCTGAATGCTAAGTAATTTTTCTGCGCATCTCGCGCTCAAGTTACCTCCGTTTCCCCCTCCCAAAACGTTTCCGAACTTGCAGATCTGCCCCTCCCTCACGATGAGACGTCCCATAGCCTAAACTAAATGCGTCTTAATTTTGAAGTTCGCCAATCGGTTGCATCGTTTACGAAATTTTCCAGGGAGATCTCTCTTCTTACCTCGGCCCTCTCTCTCTCTCTCTCTGTGTGAGCGATTCCAGAAGCTTCTCTCGCAGCTGTACGAAATCTTGTTCGAGCGGTTGCGTTTTTTTTCGGGCCATAAATTTGTCAGCGGAGGCTGATCGGCAGCCAGCGACTGTTTAGTTGTAAATAACCCCTTTGGGAATTTGGATTCCTGGCGCGGGCGCGTGGCAAAAGGGGCGCGGCGCGTGGCAAAAGGAGGCGCGGGCGCGTATTGTTGTCTTGAGCGGTGGCTCCGGGAAGGGAGGGCAGCGGGGGGCGTATATGACGAGTCATAAATGTGTACGCCACTAAGAGTTCCCCTCATCAAGCGTCGGTCGGGCAAGCTGTCAATGCGTGTCCGCGGCCTGGCGGTCGTTAGGGCCCTTCGCAACAAAAGCCCCGTCCCGCGACGTACTTAACTGTGATGGGAGATATTTCGATACGAAATTATTATAATATTATTTGGTGTCGCCACAGTACTTTCATCAATATATTATAGCAACGTAGTTACC